TAATTTGCTTATGCATTTTAAGTTGTTTGTTGATTTCTGGTTCGTTCTTTTAAGAATTTTTCTTGGTAAGAGTTTGTTCCAATAGGTTTTTTGGGTTGATCTCATGAATTTAGTTATTGTTCAGAAAGGATTAAGTTCAACTCTGCATAACATTGTATTAATTTTTTTTTTTTCTGGTTGTACTTTTCTTTGAATATTATCTGCAATAGGGTAAATTCTGTTTAGCATTGGTCCAAGTGTTTCATGGAACCAAGATAAGGTGCATATTTTCTACTAAATTAGTTTCCTCAACATCTGAATGGATTATTTGATCCCTTTCTGTGAATGGTATCATTTCCTATATCATATCATTTGATAATCATGAGGGAGCAGTGTGACGTTGTAACTTATAGATCCTACTTATTGCAGCAAATTTTCAACAATATAATAAACAGAGACATCCCCTGGCCTAAAGTACCTGAGGAGATGAGCCCTGAGGCATACGATTTGATTGACAAGTAAGAATCTTTAGAAGAGATCAGTTGCATTTTCTGGATGTATTAGTTACAATGCTATTTTGACTTCTTTCTTATGCGGATTTTGTTACTATGCCTTTATATTTCAAGAGAAACCTTTATCTTACTTATATTTCTTCTGCACTCCTTGTCAGACTGCTTACCGACAACCCAGTTCAAAGACTTGGAGCAACAGGTACCAGGGAGGTAATTTGCTGACTACCCTTGACTGAAGTTCATTTGTAAGTTACAATGATGATAAAATTAAGTGTTGCGACTGTTGGCAGGTGAAGCAACATTCTTTTTTCAAGGATATTAACTGGGACACGCTTGCTAGGCAGAAGGTCAATTCAAGTTTAAACTTGTTTTAGTTTTTCAATGATCGTTGACATATATCTGTGATAGTCAAGAGTGTACCATCATTGTCTGCAGGCTATGTTCATACCATCTACCGATGCACACGATACAAGTTATTTCATGAGCCGGTACGCATGGAACCCAGAAGATGAACATGTTAATGGCACCAGTGACTTTGATGACATGACTGAAACATGCAGCAGTGGTTCATGTAGCAACATACAAGACGAAGATGTATGTGTGCTCCTATATAAGATATTTCTTTATGCACATAGGGTTGTTAGGATCACCCATAACTCTTACTGCTTCCAAGTTGATTTGGAATTATATGGACCAGAAGGATGTACCAAGGATCTGAATTGTACCCGAATTTGCCAACAATCTGACTTTGAATTCGTAAATGTTTAGTGGCACAATCATCCATCTGATCCAAATTTGACCCTGTTTCATTCCAGTGGGATTATTATTTTAGCTACTTGACCATTGTACGTCTGATTCAGGGGGATGAATGTGGTAGTTTGGTGGACTTTGGTGCTCCAACCGTTGACGTGCAGTACACTTTTAGTAATTTTTCATTCAAGGTAAGGCATATAAACCCTAAGCTGTTCCTTTTCTTCCGATGCTGGATGAAAATGAATGATGGTGGTTTTTTCTACACAGCTCTTTTCGCTTTCACTGTGCTAATGTGTTATTTGTGTTCTCAGAACTTGTCACAGCTGGCTTCAATCAACTATGATCTTCTTGTGAAGAACGCCAAGGAGTCACCGGATGCCTCTAAGTCATTCATGCCGTGACAAGACAGCTTTTCTTTAAGCTTCAACAAATCTGTGTTCCGGCCTACTGCTCCAAGCTTATTGTCCCCTCAAATGTGGGATTTTGGATAGATGTCTTCGACGTGAATAGTCCAGGAAGCGCGGCATCCATTCAGTAAATAGCGGTTGTTCTTCCTGAAGGCGGAGGCAGGCTGCTATTGCATCAGGTCTAGTTAATCTCACTTAACTGTTTCGCTACTTTTCCGTCCTAAAAATGTATATCACAGCAAAAGGCCTTGTTTTAGATCTTCCGGTCTTGATCGCGTGATGTGGTTCTTGTAGATATCTTTCCCGGTAGAAAATTTTGTACCCTTTTCTAATTTTAGTGAGCTGTTCGAAATCGGCGGGGTCAAAGTCAGACTTAGAATTCAGATTCATGGTTCTCTTGGATGGTTCGATGTAACCTGCTCGACATTGGAACAATTCGTTAGTCGGGAGTTTAGATTAAACCTTATCATGTCTTTCTTTTCTTTTTGAATAGTATGCGCTATTTTATTATTATTTTGTTCTTTTTACATGTTAATCAATGTGTGAGTTGATACAAACACGACATGGATGTAAATAGGTAGGATTTGGTTTTGAGCAAAGGAGACGGAGCCTTCTCATCCAAATACACTGATCGTTGGATCAAAATCCAATGATTACAATTATTATAATTTAAAAAAAAACAATCTGTTTATGGCAATTAGATCAAAATTTAACCGTCCGTGTATGAATCAGGAGGATTTATCTTCTTTGTTCAGGAGAGGATCCAAATCCGTAAATCCAGATTTGACACATCGTTGCCTCTTTATGTCAGAGAACAATGGCAGTGATGCATCTAATAGTGGTGTATTGGAGAACAGGATCTTCTTCGGATCCTGTTTGTCCGGAGCCTTGGATCAATTGATCCTGCTAATTCACCACAGATTAAACGGTGAAAAAACAAGTCACGCCATTGAAGCGCATCGTCGTTGCCGAAGGACCTCAAAATTCATGGATGCCATGTCTCATCCTCCGCCTTCCTCCTCTCGATTTTGCCCAGCCAAACACTCTCCGATCAAGTTTATGACGACATGCCTCTTGTGTCGCGAATTCGTTTGATTCGCAAGCAAGAGAAGAGAACGCATTGAAGGAAGAAGAGAGAGAAGGTAGTGAACAGAAGATTGCAGAATTGTAGCCGTTCGATTTGTTTTGAACGAACAAGATGAATTGATCCTGAGGTTTCCGGAAAGGATCCTTGCCCGGGTATTGGAATGTATTTTAAATTAGGGTTTCACTTTGTGAATCCACATTTGGATCATTTGGGATAGGCTATAGCTGCCTCATTTGGATCATTTGGTATAGGACAAGGATTATGCTCTCCCACTTCCGGTGCCTTCCTGTGCCCTCTTGTTTTGTGTAATCACGGTTAAGTCATGTTAACATTTTATATTGTTTTTTTTATAGAGATAATAAAACAAAAATGAATAGTAATATAAAATGTTGACGTGAATTAACCGTGATCACACAAACAGAGGGCACGAAAGGACACCGGAAGTGGGAGGACAAACAATCCTTGTCCTTTGGTATAGGCTATAGCTGCCTCATCATTTTGGATTTGGTGGGATATGCAATAATTTGGTGTTTATAAAACCCAAAAGTAAATACGTTTCATGCATTGATTTATTTTATTTCAAACTTAATTTCTTCATTATTATTATATACAATCATACAAAATACCCACCATTTGAGAGGTCGACCCTCTTCTTTCTTTTGTTTGTTTTATTCTTAAAAAAAGAAAAAGTAATGTTCTAATTAACATATAATTGATCGATAGAAGAGTGAAAAATGAAGAATATCTTGTGTTCCAAGCCTATCAAATGGCCAAAAAAAAAAAAACAACAACAAAAAATAGGTTGAGAGTGAAATATTACTCAAAAAAAAAGTTAGGGGGTAGGTCCATTAAAATAGAAAAAAAAAATCAATTGAAAATAGACCTTTACTTTTCTAATAAAGAAATCCGAGCTTTATTTTGGAGTTTGCCACTCATTTAGGGGGTTCTTGTGTTTAATTAGGGTATATCGTTCTCACATTATTATCCTTCTTCTCATTATCATTGTTCTAAAAAGCGGCTTAGGCACTAGGCGGAGGCCAGGTGCCTCGATTAGGACCTAGGCATTTAGTAAATCGGTGAAGTCTTTTGGCAGTTCAATTTTTTTTTTATTTTTTTAGGTTAAGGGTTTGAACATAATATTCAAACTCTAGACTTTCTTTCTTGTAAAATATCTCTTACTAGATATTTCATTTTATGTATTCAATCAATTGTAGTCACTTATTTATATATTTTTATTGTTATTTATTGTAAATTTAATTAAAATTTAAAAATATGTCTAGGCCTTTAGGAGTTAAGCGTTTGCCTGCCATTTAATTAGCGCCTAGCGATTTTTAAAACTTTGCCCGTTATACGTTGCCTTTGGCTTGGTTATTATCTCACCTTAGAATTTCTAAGAATTGGGGACCAAATTCCCATTTTAGAGTTATATACAAAACTAGGTGACAAAATAATAGAAGGGTAGGGTACAAGATATTAGTTGGATCAACCATGATTCTCTTCACCTTATCTTCTTACAATTTTATATGAAAAATGATATTAATTGTACCAAAAAGTTACATATAAATCATTTCTATTTTTGCTTTTCTTTTTGTCAAATTGTGGGGTTACAAAAAATATCTACAACGGGTTGATAACCATTCAACAATAAGTCACAACTAATTGCATAACACAAATACACATCGTTTAGCTTTGCATTTTTAACATTCGTGTGAGTCAAATTTTATGACTTTCAACTTAATGAAGATTGAATATCACTTGACAATTAGATTCTTCTAATTTATTTTTCAATTGATATGGTAGCTTTTGTTTAACATACTACGAAAGTACAAACCACAAAAAGTGAATGGCTTTGTAGCAAAAGGACACTACCATATTTTGATGGAATTGGCTAATTGTAGTGTTCAAAAGTTCTCTACACTTTTGAATTACGCAAGTTCCACTAATAATTATATAATGTTAGTGGGAATTAAAAAATGCTTAAGACAATAACCTAATTTCTTAACAAGTTGGTTTTCTTCGTTTCCATGGCCTCATCATTTATCGGATAGGATAAAAAACAGATCAGTCACCATAGCAAGCAGTCACTTTTTTGTTACTTTGGCTATATACTGAAAATATAAAATATGTCCACATGTATTAATTCATACAAGGAAAATGATTTTCATACGTTCATTTTTTTTTTCTTGCACACACGTTTATTTTTGCTCCTTGTTTTTCCTTGATTTGTTTGATCCGAATGCCACAAATCAACGTAGTGTGAAAAAAAGAAAAAAAAAAAAATGATGTATGAAAATCATGCCCCTTCACACAATCAAAGCTCAAAATCTTGAACTCCAAAATCCTTACAGTCCATGAACCATGCTAAGCTATTCTCCTCCGTTGGATTATCAGCTGAGCCGTCTTCTGACGAGGTCGAAAAGTCCCATGTTAAATCCTCGAGAAATGTATCGGATAATATGAAACTCACCAATGGGTCACCTTCCTCAATGTAATTAGGGTTTGGCTCAGCTGACTGAGACTCATTGCTTGGGGAATTTTCACTTGCAGAGCCACCACCATCACTGTTGCTAGAGATTTCATGTTCTGGGATATTCATATTCCTCGGAATATTCATGTCTAAGCCTGCAGGTTGATTGCTTGCTTCACTGTTGCTATAAACTTCATGTTCTGGGATACCCATATTCTGCGGAATATTCACGTCTGAGCCTGCAGGTTGATCGCTTGCTTCACAAGGCATTTCTTCTGGGGTGATGACCTGTTTGTGGAGAGGCTCATGAGTAATTGGATCAATCCCCATCTTGATAAGCTTTTTCTTGATGTGTGTATTCCAATGGTTCTTGATCTCATTGTCAGTTCTTCCAGGCAATCTTGCTGCAATTTTAGACCACCTACACAAAATCATAGTTCAGAATTGTGCTAAGGCATTTAGACATAAGCAGATGTAGGTTAGATCAGTGGACTATAGCAGCATGCTCGGACCCGAACATTTAAATTTAACTTTCCGTAAATTACAATAGTTTATAATATCGTCGTCTTGTTTAAAAATGAAGTTTAGAAAGAAATTCACCAATGAGGAATTGAATGTGCATGCTATCAGAAAAGTTTTGCATTAAGGTAGAAGTTTAGAAAGACAGAAGAACCTGTTGCCAAGGCGGGCATGGAGGTCAATAACAAGTTGTTCTTCAGCATCATTAAGGAGGCCTCTTTTCAAGTCGGGGCGGAGGTAATTAGTCCACCGGAGGCGGCAGCTCTTGCCGCAGCGACGGAGGCCAGCGAGCTTGGGGACAGCCCGCCAACAACATTGACCATGTGTGAGGAGAAAATTCACCAGTTTCTTATCCTCCTCGGCAGTCCATGGCCCTTTCTTCACTCCAAGCTTGTCACAACAAGGTTGCCTGCCCATCACTTTGTCACTAGGCAACTTCCTAAGCCAAAGCCCCACTCCACCCACCTTTATATACTAGTGTGATGACTGCCATGCTTTTAGGGAAAATTAGAAAAAAAGGAAAAACAAAAAATGTAATTGTCTCACGCTTGACTTGTATGCGTGTATGCCACAACTGAATATTAGACCACAAATTAAAAATGATAATTACCATGGAATTTAGCAATTTTTTGCAAATATTTTGTATATATCTAGGTAATATATATACTATCTTCTAGCATCAATTGTAGGTACCAAATCAAAAAACCCTGTTTCTCGTAGCATCAACCGTCTTTTTCTCTCTTGCATGGGGCGAAAGAAATTTTACTTCATAATGGAAAACGTATTAGTGATGAATGAGACATTTAGGGATATATTATCCGTTATACTTAAAATTTTCTTACGTAGCAAAAGCGTAACTACTGTGACAAAAGCCAACTCCAACCTAATGCAAGTATTTGAACCAATACGAAAATTCTTATTTCTACCCTTGCACGCACGGGCATTGGTCATGTCCATCATTTCATGTTTGACATATTTCCCTACCTTTGTTTTTGAAGAGCGCATATGCCAACCTACTTTAGGTACCTCTTGCCATCATCAACCAAGAAACAAGTAAAGAAACAACCCTTTTTCCATATGCAATATTACTGCACAAAGGGAGTGTTATCCACACTTTTCGTAAGCATGCACCGTCACATAAGAATTGAAGAGTATACAAATAGAAAGAAAGTCCTTTTGTGGTTCCTAATATAAATAAATTAAAAGTGTATAATATATATATATATATATATATATATATATTTTAATAGTAAATTAATGAATGTTTAGGCAAAAAAAACATATTTAATTTGTGAAACTTTGGTCCCAATAGTGCATGCATAGCCCAACGAGAAGGTCCTTTCCAAGGTATCATTCCAGTTGCATTGTGACTTGTGAGGATAAGTTCATGACAAGAAAATGACTTTGCAGTTGTGGTCCAAAGATTATGTTGTAATTGTACACAATATAAACATTTATCAAGAGACTTAAGCTTAGTCACGATGTCTAAAATAGTTTGGTCCTCCATATTTTAATGTAGTTCAACAAAAACAATAATAAAGTTTTATCTCGCTAAGTGAGGTCGGCTATATGAATTCTAAAATATCGTGCGTCAAGTCTTCCATTAACTCTAAAAGCTCTATTTATTTTTTTAAAATATCTTTGCAAGTCTTTCAAAATTGTTTTTATTTTTATTTATTTATTTTTTTCTGAATCTTTGTCTCGTAACGTAGTTTAATGTAAACTATTGCTTGAATTAATCAATTATTAGGATAAATTAAATCTAGTGACGCGGGAGTGCACTTGCTTGGTGGAAGGGAATAAACAGAAAGTGCATATGGGACCTGAAATTGATGGATCCATCTATTTCCAGTCGATTTTATTCCACTGTCCTTATTGGGGTCTACCATTGCAAATGGTTAACCAATCACAAAGCTACACCTAAGCATTTCCACAGTTTCCTTTCCATTATCTTTTCGATTTTATACTCTCTATACCTTTTCAGTCACCCTAGTCTCACTCTTACTTAAGCACTCCATCACCCATATCGTCAGCACCACTAGCCCTATGATCCATCCCTTATAAAATTGTGGACTTCTTAATCAACATTATCTTTGAGATTGTTATAACTCTTCACTTTAGTCATTGAAACTTAAAATCGTTTGAAATGGTCAGTGTGATAGTCCACCAGCAATCATGTGGTCATTATGTGAAAAATCTCCGTTAAATTGAAGAAATTTTTGTCATATCAACATCTTTCCTTGAACTGATGGTTTATTCAATTTAATGGACATTTTTCATATAATGAGCATAAAATTGACTGTGGACAATTACAGGGACCACTTCTATCGATTTTAAATTTCAGGGACCAAAGTGAAGAGTTATGAGAATCTCAAAGACTATTTTGGTTGAAAAGTCTATTTTTATACATGAGGTCTTAGAAAAATGAATAAATGTTTTTGACCAGCTAAGCTACAATCTCTTTGTAAACAATAAGCATTTGAATACACAACTTTTGCATATAAAAACCCTTTTGTTATTGCTAAGATCCACAACTACTGATATCATTATCCAAATTAGTGATGTAATGCGTGAGTTCATCCATCGTCATTAAGCTAAAACTTAAACATAATTAACCTTCCAAAACTTCAAGTAGCTCACATTTGTCCAATCAATTCAACAGGTGTGGTGTTCAATTTTTCAAAGATGTTGGTGGGTTGTGGTGGGGGGAGTTGTTTGCTCTCAAAATATTAATAAACTCGACATGAACTTTGAGTGTTTCGGCAGCAAACGATAACATCCCTTTTGTCTTTGGCCATGCAGTCCACAGTTTTCTTTCAAACCACCTCCTCGCGTGCAAAAAAGAAAATGTTAAACCCATCATTCACCAAAGCCGACATTATCTAAATCTTAAATCAAATGAAAAGTTCCCAATTATCAAATCATTGTCGAGTGTTTTTGAGTTTGTTAAGTTTTGATTTGCTTCGGAGTAGAGTTCGGTTTTGATTGACGGTATGATAATAATGTAATTGCCAAGTGAATTTTGTGTGTTGGCAACTATCTGGTTATTGATAAATTGTGAACTCCACGCATATTAACGATGAGATTAGTCTGTATGCGCATGTACAATTGATTGATTCTAACCAGTTATACATTTGTGAATCTCATGTGACCAATAGTTAGAATTAGCCTACACGTGTGTGCCACTAAATTTAGCTCATAGAAAGAGCATGAATAACAACCTTCTCATTCTACTTTTTCGGTCCTATTTCTCATCCCGAGGAGGAAACAGACTTTATGAATCGTTTATTTTTCAAGTTATTTTTTAAACTTTTGCAAATATTAACTAAATTCAAAATAACTTAGTCATTTAACGATTATTTAATAGATGAATCATGTTTCTCACTTAAGCAATACAATTTTGACAATATTAATCGAATAGTGAAATGATTTCCGATATTATTATTATTATTTTATTTTTTTGCATGGTTGATCGGTAAAAATTGATCTAAAAACAATTCTAACTATCAAACAATATTACAGAATGAAAAAAAGAACCGAGAACGTTGTTAGAGTCCCATAAAAAGAGTGCTTTGTGGGTATATCATGAGGATGATGATGATGAATTTTGGGCTTCTTTTTCTGTTGGGTTGGGATTTTCGGCTAGCCATTCATCTTGGAGCCCAATTGAAATATGAAATGGACTTGGTGGATTAAAGTTCTAACAGCCCATAAGCATTCGTATTTTGTTTCGTCTCCCTCTGAACGAAGATGGACCAACGTGCGGTGCACCCCCACCAGGAGGCAATAACGCGATCTACCTGTTCGACGTAATGCCTCAGTGAAAAACGTCAACCCAAAAAGCTAAAACAATCGGAGCAGCTCAACGCTACAGAGACATGTGGAGGCGCGCGGCTTCTCTTTCTCCTCTGGTTTCTCGCTCGAAACCCTCAAAACTTTGCCAGGTATATGCAACTCCACACTCTCCCTCAGCTCGCATTCAATCGCAATCACCAATTTACGTTATTTTTATTCGTTTACTGATGAAGTGTTATTGATTACTGACCGACCACAGGAAGCATGCACGTTCAAGGTTTGGGAATCGTTTTCCTCGGAATCCGATATTCCAACGCCGGTAAGGAAATTGTAGATTTAACCCAAGTTACGAATTGTTGAATGCGATCTTATGATGTAAGAAAGATGCAGTTTTTTTATCATGTTTGATTTGATTATGTTGTTTGATGCAGTCAAAAGTTGCTCCGTATATAACTTTTGTGCTAGGTAAGATTTTGGGATGCTTATGTTATATTTTTTGATGCATCTTTTCGGAAAGCCGTAGAGATTGTAACAATGTGGTGCTCTGAATCTTAGGTGGTCCTGGTAGTGGAAAAGGTACTCAGTGTGCGAAGATAGTCGAGGCATTTGGGTTCACTCATGTCAGTGCAGGGGATCTGTTGAGGAGGGAGATAGCTTCCAATAGCGCGTACGGGTAATAATTCTTTGTTCTCGTTGTTTGTTTCTGGTTAGCTTCTTTGTCCGTTTTGTGGTCTTCTTAATTCATTGCGTTTGGAATTGCGATTCAGCTCGGTGATTCTTGGTACAATTAGAGAAGGAAAAATTGTTCCCTCTCAAGTGACGGTCCAGCTCATTCAAAAGGAGATGGAATCAAGTGACAACGATAAGTTTCTCATTGATGGCTTCCCTCGAAGTGAGCAGAACCGCGAGGCATTTGAACAAATTGTGAGTTTCCTTCTATTCTTGTGAGCCAATATGGCAATGTTGACTATGTTTAATGCTTCAGAAAATTCAAGTCTTGTTTGACCTTGCTGCAAGGATCAACTTAATTTTTAGCAGTTAAATATCTTAATTTAAGTGTTTTCGAAAGAAAAGTCGCTAGATCATGTCATGCATATAAATGTGAAATCTACCGCAGTGTTTCACTTTTGACCAAATTATTCCTCATTCCTAGCTTCATGAAACTTGCAGATTGGCACAGAACCAAATGTTGTGCTTTTCTTTGACTGTCCTGAACAGGAGATGGTGAAGCGAGTGCTAAATCGTAATCAGGTGCTTATGTGTTATGTTTTTCTATAGGGTTGGATTGTGTATGTGCCTGCATTGTTTAATGTCTGATGCTTATTGCAGGGCCGAGTTGATGATAATATTGAAACAATAAAAAAACGTCTTGAAATATTTGATGAATTAAATTGGCCCGTTATCAATCACTATTCAAATACGGGAAAACTTCACAAGGTAAATGGCACATTCAGGGGTTGAATGCTTTTAAGATCGTGGCATTTGATACTTCGAGCTTCTTGCGTGTCTGAAGTTTTCTAGCCTTGAGAAGCTGATCTCTGATAATTTCCCCTTCATCTTCTGTTCACATGTATAGTTAATTGTGAATTACTTCTTCTTTGTGTCTTTCTTGTTGAGTTTGTTGCACACCATTTTGATTCGGGTCTAAGTTA